ATCAATGAAGCGTTTTTCAAGGAAAGTTCACGACAAACAGCGAATGTGAGCCATATCTGTCAAATAAGTGTTTTCGGGGCAAAACTCATGAAAAACTTCAAATGAGCATAGAGAATGGCAAATAAACGTTTTCCGACTGGAATTCATGAAAACCATCCTATGGTTTATACTTGATACCAGATGCTTGAACGGCCCGCCCTCACTAGTTGTGCGGGTCCCAGCATAATCACCATTTTTCGTAGATTTGTTGGTTAAACCATTGTGGTTTTCTGAAATCCCGAGAACAGCTTTGCCAAAGTCTGCCTGCCCCAAGTCTTCACCACCACAAACAGTCGCAGCCCTTGTGGGTCAGAGAGATATTTGCCACCATGCGACTTTGATACCAGGACGGTGATGGATCTTGGTATTGGTTTACTCTTAGCTAGGCTTCCTGATAGCCTGATGGGAACGCCGGACTCCTCACTTGGGAGACCCTGTAGAGCGGACGAACCCTCAGGCTGTACATCACAGTCCAACACCCAGAAAAACCTCTCAGCCACGATGAAGCCGTTGTGAAAAATATGTCTTATAAAACCGTCATTTTGTGCTTTCTGAGTGGATTTCACTAAAATCGTCGAATGTGCGCTGAAACTACCAAGTAACCGTTTTCTGAGCGAAATTCGCGAAAAACATCAAATGTGCGCTGTAAACGTCAAATAAGGGATTTCTGATTGGAGTTCAAGAAAAACGTCAGATGCTGGTAGAAAACGTCAAATAAATGTTTCGGAGTTGAAATTTACGAAAATCGTCATATATGCTCTTAAACCATCAAATAGCAATTTACTGAGCGGAATTCACGAGCAACGTCGAGGATGCGCTAAAACTGTCGAATAAGCTTTTTCTGAGTGGAATTCACGAAAAACATCAGATTTGCGCTGAAACCGTCAAGTAGCGGTTTCCTATGGTAACAGTAACATCAGTTAGACGAAGCCTTCGATTTACTATGACGTGGCTTATTTCGTTATGGTACTCTACGTTGGGAAAGTCCAGAAGCTAGCGATGAGAGTGGTGCTTCTAGAATTGCGAGTTGTTTCGAATAGTCTTGATCGCTATACTGAACTCTGGCAATTCATCCATTTCCTGGTTCTGTTATAATCCAACAATTCCAACGTAACTTTCTTCAAACGTTCATCTGGATCCAATGTTAGCGTTAAAATCACCAACAATGACCTTTAAAAATGCACGGTGTTCTGCGTAGAAATTCTTGTAGTCCGTGTACAGATTTTTGACTTTTCTCCGTCACAGTTTAATGTCGGTAGATACAGGACAGGAATTGTGAAACTAGCGCATCTCTTCAACTGTAAACGCCCGATTCGAGTTGTCAGTGGTTCGAATAAACAGATGTTTATGTGTAGTCGCGCGTGCCCGAGAACGCCGACGCCACCGTTTTCTGCATTGTTTCATTTTCCGTGGAGCACATAGAGAATTCCTCTATCAGATAGAGAATTCTCTACTTACCTAACTAATACATTCCATGGGCCGATGGAGACCGCGCTGCTACAACGCCACGTGCGTGCCTTGTGTCCACGTCTCGTTCTGGCCGATGGGTACGCAGCTCGCTTGAACGTAGCAACGCCCACTAGCACCGTCATTTGGCCCAACGACGTCGTGGAGAGCGCCGTCGCCAACTCCATCATTATTTCCTTTTCGCTCATTCTTTCCTTGCAGGTTCATTGGCTTAGGTCGTAATGGTATTAAGTGGTCTATGTATATCCTTAGCTCTTGCACTGATGATACATTAATGTTGTCTGTTGATTCTCGCGTAATTACGTTGTGTGTGTTAACATAAGTTAAACACGTTCATTGCTCACAGGTACCTTACGAACAATTCTTCGCTCTTGCTCACTTCCGCGAACGATCTTCATATTCTTGCGCTGTGGGCTGTTACATTTGTGCGTGCACTATTGTTAACGCGTTTTATTAGGTAAAAAACCTACTGAACCACCTTACTCGTAATTTATTGTACATACGTCACAAATTTCGTCCTTTCCTTGCGGATTCATTGGTTTTGGTCGTAATGACTACGCGTACTCCTTAGCTCTTGCATTGCTAATACTAATGTTATCGTTGATTCTCGTGTAATTACGTTGTGTGTGTTAATGCATTCTATTAGGTAAAAACTCACTGAACCACCTTACTCGTAGTTTGTTGTACATACATTACAGATCTCATGGTATTGTTGTGTGAATGGCGTTTATATACGAATAAAGGTTCAGTTAGCCAAGTTTGAGATACCTTATAAGCAATCCTTTTCTCTTACTCACTTCCGCGAACGCTCTTCATATTCTTGTGCTGTGTCTCGTTACAGAGCAGTTCTTCTTCGATATAGTACTGTTAGAGGGGCAGTGTCTTCTCGGCTGGTGCAGTTTGATGACATCGCACCTTATCCTTCTTGCCTGCGCGATCAATTTTTTTATCGAAGACTTGCACGCAAGTCTGCGTTCACTGTACGTTCTAATCATAATACCCTACGCCGCCTGTTAGTTCGAAACCGTCTCTATGATCGTTTGTGCAGCTAAGAAAACTGTATGATCTGTCCTAACGGGAGAGACGGGGATTGCATGAGTTCAGGTATAATATACTTGATCTCATGTAATGCATGCGGCGAGGAATATATCGGGGAAACTGGTAGACCACTTTGTGTCCGCATAAAAGAACATCGAGATGGAAAAGCTAAAATCCGCCTAAACACTCCTCTAGGTACGCATAGGGCACAAAAGCACAACGGCGATGATTTTGAAGTGACTGTGCGGATTCTAGCGCAGGAATCAAAAACATCAACGCGCAAAACCCTTGAGGCGTTTTGGATAAATTTCAAAAATCCAAAGATGAACAGGAAGGACGAACACCTCACTATCACGCGTGACTTGACGCCCTATTTCAAAATGATATTTTGACCCCGGGGCGTGTCTTGCTCGCGACTCCACGTGAACTACGTGTGGGCCGCTCTCGCACGTAACATCACGGTGAGTGGCCTTTCTGTTCAATATGGCGTCTATCCACCGAATAATAAAAAGTATTCTAACATAAAAGACGTCCAGGCGCTGAGGAAGGCGAAGTCGCCGAAACGTCAGCCATCGATCAATAACATCAAAAACAACGACAACGACAACGAAGATCTGTACCAACCTCGCGTCAGCTTAAGAAGATCAGTTTATAAGATCTCATAAATAAATATATCAACTATTTATGCCGAGGTTCATAGAAAGTCGGTCTTTCGAGTTAAATGATTTGTTCATCAAAGCAACATCTACTATTTGACGACGACCATTAGCCATTGGATTTCAATTTACTTTAATTTACCTTAATAGTGAGTAATGAATTTTGATACCAATGAGTTCGAACTCTTTGATTCTTTCCCTGTTCCGAAATAATTGATAAATTGAACTTGAGGGCTCTTCGAGTGACGCTTGGACGAGGAGCTTATTTGTTGGAGGCGATTTCTAACCTCCTCCCATATACTTCCCTGTTATTTGATTACATGTATTCGCATAAATGAGAACACACCCACGCTGTAACGGATCACAACGCAAGGATGTAAAAGGCGTTCGCGAAAGTGCGCAAGAGCGATGAACCGTTTGTGAGGTATCTGTGGGGAATGAAAGTATTCAACTTATGTTAACACACACAACGTAATTACACAAAAGCCAACGATAACCTTAATGTGTCAGTGATGCAAGGGCTAAGGATTACACGTACTATCATTGTGACCTAAGCAAATAAATTCGCAAGGTAGGATCAAACGGGAGGAAATTAATGATGAAGCTGGCCCCGGCGATCTCCACGGCGTCGTCAGGCCAAATGACGGAGCCATTGGCTACGTCCAAGCGAGCAGTGGGTCCCATGGCCAGAACGGGATCTGGGCGCAGAGGACGCGCGCGGCATTGCAGCCACGCAGTCTCCATTGATTACCCGACTATACAGTACTTAGGTAGTTAGGCCAAATGACAGTGCTAGTGGCGTGGCTACGTTCAAGCGAACAGTGTGCTCCATGGCTAGAACGGTATATGGACGCAAAGAAAGCGCGCGGCGCTGCAGCCACGCGGTCTCCATCGATCTCCTGACTGTATTAGTTATGTAGATAGAGAATTCTCTATCTGATTGGGGAATTCTCTATACACGCACGCATGAATGAATACGTTCACAACCAAATCGGTGCCGCAAGAACAGGAAGTCTATCCTCTGGATGTACCTGCTTTTCAGTGAAACCTCACTTTTACCTTCAATTGACACTCGTTTTCCTACCTAGAACGCGCATTGTTGCTTTGCTAGTAAGCGGCGTTAAATGCTTTTGTGAGGGAGATCCTTTATGAGACCAAGGTTGGTCTTATGGTCAAGGTTATCGCGAATTTACCAGATTAAAAGGACTGCGGTTCCTCTAGTTCATTAAGTTGGAAGAATCCACTGAATTTCTGCTTCATCCGACCGTAACAGATTTCTGGTTCTTGTTTCAGTCACTTGACGATCAACACAAGATCAACTCATTCAGGAGTTACGCCAATCGCGCTTACTTATTTTCGGCTGTTACAAGGAAAACTAGGAGAAATACTATACCTTTGGTGCCTTTAAGGTTTTCGTAATTTTACAAGCACGACACAGGTTTAATTGGTTGTCAGTTTTAGTTATAGCATTTCAAAGAAAGTAAAGTTTAAGTGGAAGAAGCCTTTCGTTACTCACTTTCACTATTCAACAAATATCACACAACCTGCTCCATCATAGGAACAATGATTCAGAATCGGCGTGAATGAATGAAGAAACAGTGCCGGACAATAATATTTATGAAATCGAAATTCTTTTATGGGAACATCGGTTAATTGCTTGTTGATTCCACTTATGATGGATTTTGACGATGATTATTGTTGAATATTATGGATGTGGAGTCATCTTCGCTTTGCGTATCCCTCCGAAAACCATCTTAGGATTTTCCTTAAAAACAGATATATTCGAATAGGAACCGTACCTCAATCTATTCGTGTAAAGGTCGCATTGACATAATAGACTACGAAACTAGATGCCAATAACACAATAGTAACAATAATAACCTTGCTTATCTTGCGTCTTCCCATTTGTCTATGGTCGATATTGCAAAGATGAGTATCCGGCTTACGGTGTTGCTTGCAGAAGACGTAGCTGCACGCACAAGGCATTTGCTGCTCCGCCGGCTTCAGCTTGCCGTTACACACCTAGAAAGTCGACGTACTCATCCGAAAAAAATATACATAAAATACATTCATCACGTCGACATCGGTCATGGAACGTTTATCGTTTATACTTATACTTAGACACTTCAATGCTTGATCGGTCCGTCTTCAGTAAGCCGAAAATCCTATGGAGAGGTCACTTTTTATCCCTACAAAACAGTATGCAGATAGAAAAGGCTTAAAAACAATGGAATTTCTTTGGTGTGCCTAGCATCAAAGAGAACCACCAGACTTATCTGCAAACGTGCAGATATTAGCAAAGCTTTTATACTTCATTATCACGCGTCAGTGGTACTAAGTGGGCTATCCGTTCTCAGAGGATACTAGCAATCTCAAATTTTTGCTATACGTCTCTCTATTTTTACAATCTTTAACAATCATTTACCTAAGCATGCGTCGCAAAGCTTTACTTTCGCATAGATTTTCTTTTAGCCAAATCTCTGAATGAAGATGTTGTACACTATTGGGGATGGGTGATTGCTGATGGCAAAAAGATCGATAGAACTAGCATGAGAGACATGCAGAGCGAAGGACCCGGATGGTGTAGTGGTGAAGTGTGCTGCTCCCCGGTGAGGACAACAGGGCTTGTTCGTTCCCCACTGCATACACCTGTGGTCCGGAGTTTTGCAAATATCTCAGCATTTCATACTATTGGGGATCGTTTGATGTGATTGCCGTGAACGCCTCTTTGTCACCAACGACCAGTATGCTATGCAACGAGGTATTCAGACTGACGTATTAAAGAATTCATACTTTGCACACTGTCTTTAACAGTGCCTCTCTTCTAGCTTTAACCTCGTTCAGCTCTTCCATGTTAGACGGAGCTAATAGAAAATGATTCTTTCTGAGTTCCATCTCCACCACTGTTTCCGGAGGCTCGAAAAAAGCCTGAACATCTTTGTTATAGGTTCCTGAGTTCACAAATCAACACAGAACCATTTTCTGTGAACCTGATTCATACCTTAATTGCCCTCTCCGATATGCCAATTGAATTTGAAGCAGAAATACTCGATTCGCCCGACTTTAACTCTGTGGACGAAACGCTGGGAGAACAGTCTATAGCTGATCTACTGGAAAGGTATTCTCGAATTGATTCCTTTATGGCAAGAAAGGAATAGTTATCTCTTATGATATCTGATAGATCAAACTTATTTTGATGTTCCTTTCTCAATTAATACGAAGCGCTGACCTTTCGACTGATCCTACAGATGACGGAGGAGAATCACTAAGGATCTTCTTGCGTTTTCTCTGCATCAAACGCTTAAAGCGGATAATAGGCATCAGTACTTAAGTGAGAAAATGAACATAACTACTTCTGGCATACAAATGAATGCCGAATGTTTTAAATTCCTGGCTGGTTTAATATCCCAAAACGACTTTACGCAATGTAATAGTGAAATACTTAGAAACCTTCGGGTCGTTTGATGTCCATCTAATAGAGTACTGCAAACATTCTATGAAGGTGAACTTCGAAAAAGATCACGTAGAAGAAGCCTACATGGGAACTACGTCTGCGCGGTCTTCAACAGTTTTGTATTTTATGAGAAAGACTAAAGTGGAACTCATATTGTGGATTCTGAAGAGGTTATTGATGATTACACTCTCCATTTTTTGCTTGCTGTTGGAAAGCGTTCGGATGCGCATTGACATTCATCCAGTATTATCATATTCGGACTACTGTCAAGAGAAATGAAGCACCTTCATTCTGTTTCTGGTTATTTCATGTTCCATCTGCTTTTCGGGCGTCCACTCCGAATGCTTTTTGTCCACTGGGCTTCTTGGTTTCCGAGGAAGTCGAATTTTGGTGCTGCTTCAAAGGGGCAAATTTCAAAACTCTTAAATGCTAGAAAACGTGTGAAACATAGTGAGATGTTCGGGTTTTCCTAAATTGAGCGCTTTCTGTAGCTTTTAATAAAACTATTTCTCTTTTCCCAACACTGTCTATACCACCACTCTCACTGTCACACTTACGTTTAAACGGTGCTTGTAAAGCAAATTTGTGAGCCGAAGTCGTCAATTTCGTTTCCCATGTATCCATTTTAAATGTCACTTTTTGCGAATTAATGGCGATTCGTAATTGTAAACACTTCGTAGCATTTTACCTTCTCGGCTAGTTCGACTGGTTCGAACGAGATTTTAAGCACTCAAAACGGTTGGTGAAAGTATTTCAGTAGACATTCTGGATGCGATGTGGTTCTGTACCCAGTGTAATTCCTCAAACTCACCTCAACGTACCTTTTCCCGTAATCATTGCACCGATGACAGAAAAGTTTTACTTTCATTTATTTGTGGAAAATGTCAAAATTAGAAAGTTTTTAAACTCTCGTCAATATGACTTATGGATTCCGAGCCAGCAAAAACTGCTAAACCATTGGAGACTCAGATGGGCGGGTAACTATTATGAGCGTGCAACAAATCGAATCCTTAGACTTAACATTTCACAGTAGTAGTAGTAGTAATAGTAGTAGTAGTAGTAGTAGTAGTAGTAGTAGTAGTAGTAGTAGTAGTAGTAGTAGTAGTAGTAGTAGTAGTAGTAGTAGTAATGATATTATTAATAATAATCATGTCTAACGTACCCTCGAACATTGGTCATTGATTTGATTTTACTCCTCAACTCAGTAACGCTTCCTTGAGGAAATGCTGGTGGAATATAAAGCACAGAATTCGGCCTAAGCAAACTTGCAATAGTGGTTTTTTGCTCTATTTCATTAAAGTTTTGCAAACGAGAATAGAGATTCGAGGGACATTTATGTTAAATACTTCCTTGTCATGCAACCATCACTAAGAAACCGCTTTCAAACAACGAAATCTATTTCTGTGAAAAAATAGGAAGTGTAGGAAAATGCGGAAAGCTCCTGAACATCGAAACTGTTTTCAGAAAAGCTAGCAAGAGGTAGAGTAAGGAAACCACGTTGCTTTTGGTGGGACTAGTTATTAGAAACTTTGACGTAGATAAGATGCTCAGAAGATTCGTTGAGGGCCAAGCACTGTTCCGATTTCCCTGTTTACTGTCATGTTTTCTTAACTTGGCACATTACTGATGTGCGATATTGTCAAAAAATGTTAGCATTACCTGGAGATTCTGCTTCCAGTATTCATCTTGATGTTCATGATTATTTCACAGTCCTCTTTTATTCCATATTGTGCAATTGGATTGTTATCACCTCTAAGCAGTTATGGTGAATTTCGAAGTGAATTATAGGTAGTATTCAGTGCTTAACTTGAATGATGTCCAAAAACTCAGAAAATTAAATACTGGGATCATTTTTCAACTTACTTTAGTTCTTTATGTTTATACATAAGTATCATCTTCTCAGGAAGTACATCGGTTACTTCAGATATAAGCGTTTTTATATCGCCTATAGTGCTTCCTTTGGTAACGGTAACTCGAGTCTGAATGTTGCATAACTGAATTTTTTCACGTCAGACGCATGGTCGGCAGAGATTATGACTTCTAAAATTACGGAATGAAAGCTAAGGAATTTGGGACTTTGGTAGCTTAGCGTCAAAATTCATATGTGCCGAAGAAGCACTGAAAGGTGGGGAAATTCCTAGATTCTCTTTGGCTTCGTTGAGCGTTTATCGCTGTAGGTTAAATAAAAGAAACTGCTTTGCCGAGCCTCACACACTGTATCTGCAATGTCACAATGTGAGAAAATTGTGAATTAACTTGTTATTTCCATGTTTCACTTATCATTCACTAACCTCTGGAACTCCTTCCATTACATTATTGACAGTTAACTCGATTAATTCATTTCCTCCACCCCTTGATGGAGACCTCGAGACTGGAGAGCATTCTAAAAGAGAAGTGAAAACCTTGTGCATGTTCTGTCGAAGTGTGTTGCTTAGGCGTTTCAATAAGGAATGAGCAGTAAAGTTAGTGGGAATGACGAGCTAATAAGAAAAAACCATTTTAGAGTGAAGGATCCTGTTGAGATAGTATAACCATAGCAAATGCCACCTTAGGCGATCTCCCTCAGTTAACATTTATTAAGTTCACCCCATTTTTTCGTGTCCTTTCTACTGAACGAAAGTGAACAGCTGTCACAAAGTTGTTGTATATGACCGAGGTTATTGTTTGAAGCACTCTTTTATCAAATGAACACTGTGACCATTACTATAATGCTGAGATATTTGCAAAACTCCGGATCGCAGGTGTCTGCGGTGGGAAACGAACGTGCTATTGTCCTTTTCGGGGAACAACGCGCCCACCACAACACCATATGGGTCCTTCGTTTCACCTGTCTCTCGGCTAGTTCTATCGATCGAACGAAGGACCCGCACGGTGTGGTGGTGAACGCGTTACTCTCCAATAAGGACAATAGCACGTTCGTTCTCCACCGCAGACACCTGCGGTCCCGAGTGTTGCAAATATCTCAGCATCGTTGTGTTTATATGAAGTGTGTTTTTCGCACAAGTTCTTTGACAGGTTATTCGACTGTTAATAGAATGTTATCACAAATCTAGTCGCTTTGATGAATCCTCATCAATCATATCACTTACTTACTTGATACTTGAACGGCCCGTCCTCACTAGTTCTCCGGGCCCCAGCATAATCACCACTTTTTAAAGATTTGCTGGTTAAGCCATTGTGGTTTCCTGAAATCCCGAGGACAGCTTGGCCAAAGTCTGCCCAAGGTCGTCACTGCAACAGGCAGTAGCAGCCCTCGTGGATCAGAGGGAGATTTACCACCATGAGACTTTAATACCAAGACGGTGGATCCTGATATTGTTTTACCCTTAGCTAGGCTTCCTGGTAGAAACACCGTGCACCTTCTCAGCTTGGGCGACCGCGCCACGGGAATGAATCCCTCGCTGTACATCGCGGCACGACACCCAGGAACACCTCCCAGCCACGATGAGGCAGTGAAGTGTTGGGAGGAACCATATCACTGCCTGTATTAATCATCATCTATTTAAGAACATTCTTCACAAATCACTCAAGCTCTTCTCATCGCTTGATCATCATGGGTTGCAACATTATACCTAATTCTTCTTCTTTTATTTCGATAACACTTGTTCAAGTCATCAAGTTTATGCTTAGTTGACAAGCAAGTTTGACCTATCTTCATTTTCTAACGATAGCAACCGCATTAAAACGAAATAAATCTAAAGTTTGTTATGCTAGGTGGCAAGCAAGTGGAAGGAGAATACCAGAGAATTGTGGTCAAGACTAATTCAACTATGCTTGAGATGTGATTATATCTATGAGGGTGTGATATATATTGGACGGAGATTTATGTATAATTGAAGACGTGGTCCACAATGTGGTGATAGAGGTCATATATTATTTGCTAAATAAAGGAATGCATCTCCATCCAATCGTTCGCTGATGACCCATCATTTTGCTAAAGAGTTACTGAAGAGAAGGATCCGTCTAATAGGCAGCTGTTGGGCAAACAGAAGGGGACTTCTGAAACAAGTCATCTGCAGGAAGCTGAGTAGATTACGATTGGTGGCACAATAGAACCGGAGCCGTATATCGTTGCTGAAGTGAAAAGATTATAACATAGGAACTCTTATGATAATCAGAGTTCACCACGGAACCATCCTCTCAACTCATCAACTCCCATCATTGGAAGCTATAAGCTGAGAAAGCCAATCGTAGCACAAATGTTGAGATGGCGGCCTGGAATTTTACGTCTGAGCTTGGCTGCTGCTTGAGGAATTTTCTTTTTTTCTCAGAGTCTTCTAATGGCCACGCTAGGGTGTTTCCACGTGAATATGAGTGGATGAACTGATCCCAAACAAATCTGACGTCAGATTCACGACACTGAATGAACGGGAGGCTTTATGGTACATAGCGGATCAGGTTAGCTGACAGCCAGTTAATATACGCGGGTTATTTGTAAGGTGTATACATGTAGTATACACCGGTTATAAGCTTTAGATTGCAAAATCAATGGCTTCTTCCCTCAAAGCTCTCTATAAGTATCGAATTCCACTGTTCAAGCAGAGGCATTTCTGCGCCTCAACACCTGTCACACTCTTTGTGCTATCTACTCACGAGCAACAACAATCTTTTACCTCAATATAGACTTCCGAAGAAGTTTTTGTAAATTATTTCCTTAGAGAAAACACTTTTGCGAGCGGCATAACATCTGCGTAAGACATGCCATTGATAGAATAAAAAAAGTGTGCAAGGTGAAAAACTTAGGTTTAACAATGCACATCGCTGAAGTTGCTTTTCAATGTCCGCCGTGCTGTACACGTTAACAGGAATTTGGTCCTGGGTAAAAGATGGAAAGATGAAAAGCTCTGGTTGATCTATCTCCGGGGAATGCGCCATGCATTCGACTTCACTAAGCATCCTTGGAGGTGATTGAGTGCACATCTGGCCTTTACAATAACATGCGGAGGCCTACTGATGTATCGAGCCAGTGCTGCTATCCCCCTAGACAAGTCAGGTACCAATTTGTCGACCACGGATGGGTCGAGGGCTTCGTGAGCCTGATGCGCGGGGATCGATCCCATATGTATTGCAGGACGCCTCCGAAAGCTGCGCTAAACGCGCTTATGTGGTCCTGGGTACAATTCGAAAACATCGTTCAACTTACTTAAAGTGAAAATGATAGTTGGAGGCTCTGGAAAAATAAAGCCGGTATAGCATGGAATTAAGGCCACGTTGTTCATCCTGAGATGCCCTCTTGGAGTATGACAACGATTAGACTCTGCTCTTATAATAATGTGAATTGTCATAAGATGAGAAATTTTTAAGACTTCTCTATTTATTTTCACAACGCTTCAGTAATTTTTAAGTAGAAAGAGACGTACTCGATGTCTGTCGTGGTCGTGTTGAACGGTCTGAAATACTAGGAGAATTGTGGCAGGTTAACACGACAGCGTGCCTAATGGAAAATACTAGGTGAGCGATAAGTTTCGAGCAAAACAACTCACTCTCACTAGAATTCCTTCGCGGTGTTCTTGGTACACTCATTGCCCTGACTGACCGGTAAATACTGCTAGCGGAGAATGAGTCTCACGATTTGTAAGTAGTTTGTTAAAGTAAGTTGTTTGCTATCTTCATCGACCTTTAATTTTAATCGATTAATTATTGACGACGAGCGTTTAGAACGCTTATCTGTCTGTTTGAGCTAGAACAATCACGACATCGCTTTTCTGCCCTAGTACGTGTTTTATCAAGGGTTTCTTTTCAATTAAGCAGATTAGCCTTGAAGTTCTATTCAGTTTGAGGTCATCTGCTAAGCTCTTTATCGATCTACTTTATTCCAATTTTCAGACTACTGTAACCAACTAAGAACTAAAAGTTATGAATAACTAATGGCGGGACAATAGCTTCCCCTATTTCCGGACACTCTGTGTATCTATTGTCTTCATATCACTTTCTTGCACGACTGAAGAAGAAATTAGTCAGTCCACCGCCTGAAATTCAAGTGGGACTGTTCTAAGTGGGCTATGCCAGGACGCCAGAGAGAGTCGACTTGACTAACATGCAGCGACATTCGTTAAGAAAACGACAATCCTCAAATAGCAGCCGAGCCCACTAAGGAAAAGCTCGAAAATTTCGTGGACGGAGATGCGAGGAGAGAAATCAGATGCAAAAAATGCTAGCATACACATATTAGATGTGAAGATGGTTTGCGCTAAAAATTACTGTTGAACAACGAAGAACATGATGAACAAAGCAAGATAACATTGCGGCAGATCAAGAATGCCTTGAACAATTATGGAACAAATCGAATTTGCGAATATGGCAGATTTTGCCTGGGATGTGGGGCTATCATCAGTTGCTGATGGTTGAATGATAAGAACAGTGATTTAAGTAACTTGAAAGTTGTTTTGTATTCATTTGAAAGTGCGA